AGTAAAACTCTTTTGCTGCTGGAAGCTATTGCGTCAGAAATGTGGACACTTCTAAACCCACTCACAGTCACCAAGATTTTATTTTAACCTCCCCCTTGCAAATCTACCATATGCTCTTTCACACATTTCTGTAAGCGTAATGAGTAGTGCAGGGTTTGTGTTAACCCTTTAGTGGCTACAGTTTTGAAATGCATATTAACTGCATTGTTTATCCCCCGTTGGGAATTCACTGCCCCCTCTTTATCTTCAATAAACTATTAAAAATGCGGTAGGAGAAAATCAGTCAGGAAACAGGTTGAATTCATGAGATGTGCTGCTGTCTGGGCAGTGTCTCAGTTTCAGGAAGTTTTCTCCAGTGTTTCACCAGACACTGAAGGCAGGCATCAGAGAGCAAGAATGGAGAATTGGAAGCTGGGTTTTTTCCCAAAATCCATAGTTTCTGCATATGTCGCCTATTCCGTTTTGGAACTGTCAAACAGAAGTCTAACACTGTTCCGATTAAAACATGTTAAAGAAATTTGTACATTCAATCTACACAGAACAGATATTTTGTAACAGCTGCTCAGCTCTAAACTGCAGACACACCAGTTTTTTGGTACATGATTACAGTGACAAAAATAGCTTCAATCTGTGTAATAACGCGGTGTCAAAAGCTGTTTTTTTGCAAATTGCTTTATGTCAAATTTATTAACTTAACACCAAAGTGCTATTGCACATTCGTTAGCTCTTACTGTGTAATGCTTTATTGCTGAAAAGGAGGACATATGTTCAGCCGTGCTCTAAATCACATATCATAGAAATTGGATGATTAAATGTTTAATAAATCCAGTGCATAAGTACAACAAACAATATAAAATATGTCTTTTAAAATTCGAGGGTATTAATTTCTTGTTTCAGAGAAGGAAAGGAAACAGTGAATTATAACAAAAGTGGTTAGTGTGCATCTCTATCATTATTAGGTTGCATTTGGAAGAGAAGTCTTAGCCTTATTAACTTGTAGAATGAAGTATGTAATTTACAGATGTACTCAACCTTACAGTGTGCATACAAAACAGCATTTTTTTTTAATGTTTTGGTAGTCAAAAACATTTGCAGCAAAAACACAGGAATGTCCGGATTGCCTCACATACAGACACATACAGTAACAATCAACATGAATGACTAGGTTTTTTAATAACCCTTGTCAGACATTGCTTGTTAGAAACCACAATGACAACTTCTCTGGGCATTCTGTTCCACACATTTATCAGTGTGTTGTCATCTATCTTTCCCCATTCATAACCATATGAGAGCATACAGTATATTTGTTGGCTGCACACCTGTTTTTGAATGTCCTCCCATATTCATTCCAAACTGTCTCAAAGGAGCTAATATTAGGGAACACATATTAGGATGAATCCTTTTGAGCTAGGAACATACTGTGCACTATTTAAGATATCAGAATTAGGAATTGCTTATCCAATTAATATATAAAGACAAAATTTGTATTCCAAAACACAAAACCCTGAAATTTAGCAGGCCACTAGTGTTAAAAACATACTTCATCTGAATAGAATACCTATAAACTAAAAATAGTGGGAATCTCTGCTTTAAATCAATAAACAGAGCCTCCAACAGAACACTATGCTTGCTACTGCTGTGGAACACCTGGTTTTTGGGCCAGAGAGAACACTGCCGCCTAGTGGCCTATCAGTGCCACTTCCAGCAGGAGCCTGATGGCCGTCCAATGCCTCCCATCCAAATTAGGACATCATTGTCGAAGGTGGCACACCAGCACAAAACACAAGCTATTGCCCAAAATAGACATGGGTGCAGTATGAGGTGATTGGTTGCCTCAAACTGATCTCCGACGTTAGATTTTTCATTAAACATCCCACCGCAAGAAATCTTATACTTACAGCATCCTGAGGTCAGGGATACTAACACCGGTACGGACAGAGGTAAAATTGGGAGGGTATTCTCACTGCACACTGGAGATCCTGTACACCTTTGCAAGCGACAATGCAGCAGAGGCAAGGCTAGCCCAAGGCAAGACTTCCAAGATGAAATAATGTAATGTGCTTGAGGCCAGGACTGGCAGTTTCGAATGAGAAGAGCAATGAAGTTATCATGTGCCTAGGCTGCTGGTCAAGGATGATGCTGTTGATGACCGTAGCTGGAAGTAAAAGTACTGATATAACCGTTACTAGGTACGTCACTGAGCTCTGTGCGGACAATATCTGCTATCACCTGTCATTGGTGGCATTTGCATGCTGTCATGTTAGTTTTTCAAGATGACAGTGCACATTCACACAGGATTAGGCTGGGCTCTGTCCTAGATATGCCTGATCCACAGTCTGTTTGTCTGGATGACATCCAATTTCCTTGCCACTGTTGCCTGTGAAGAGCCAACTTTCATTATTCAGACTGCACAGTGACATTCATCTTCTATAAGTCTTCACAGACCCTTCTTGGTGCTGAAAATCCCCCAACGATGTTTGTGCTTTTCAGATTTTTTCAGATGTTACGTCCCTATAACTCATGGTGCACTTTCTGGATTTGCATAAACCAAGCCTCGTACTTACAGTCTAAAATGGAAATGGTGCTACTTGTATTTCTACTTATGCTGTACACACAGAATTGAACAGATTGAACTGACAACATCATCAGCAAAATTATTCTTTTTGAAAAGGACAGGAATTAAAACCTTCATATTCTATATAGAATGCTTAAAATATTATATACACTGTATAAGCCTCATGCATTTGTATAAATATATGGCATTTAAAAACGGTCATTTGCATATTCCTCTCAAAAAAGTTGGACACTTCCTTTGTGAGTCATATAAAGACTATATAATACCATTATGTTTACGTTATTAATCCGACATAGCGTCGTTCGTGGTTATTGGTTGTACAAATACCCTTGTAGAAAATTGTGTATTTTAATTATTAATTTTTAAGTATTTGGTTGGCGTGTCCTCTAAGCTTTATGTAGGATTACTTAAAAGGGTATGACGACAAGTTACATTCACACGTTTTATTGTAAAAAGATCCTATTGGGGACATGAAATAAAAATATTTTTCGCTTAAATCAATATGAACAAAAAAAATCCTGCAGGATAGATTAGGAAACCAGAATAGAAAGACAAATACATAAAATACTCTTCTGATAATTTAGAAATCTCTTCTCTTTCTTTTGTTTGCATTCGACAGTTGCAAAAGCATATCCCATTCATTCTGTGCTATTCCAATTAATTTAAAATACATTCAAAAGCTTCCCTCACGGGTCAAAATTTTCACGTTACTGTATATTGGGGCTTCCATTCTCTTCTTAATCTTCTAGGAACGACTCCACTTACTCGCCGCTATAGTTTTAGTGTCATCGAGGCGTGGACAAACCCAGCTTTACTTTCCCTATTTAATATAGTTCTTAAAATATATTGATTTTATTTTTATTTTTTTAGCTAGCATTGGCCTTTTGCTACCCTTGTTAAAAAGAATCCTTTCACTGATTCCTACCGACACCCTTCATATACTGTATGCTTCCATAATCTATACTGTAAATGCGTATTATAAGAGAATGCGTTATTTCCAAACTCCGTTTATAACCTCAAAATAAAATGTTTCAAATGGATATTACTTTATTTAATTTCTAATATTAACCCTACTTTTAATATTTTGTTATTTGTAACCGTCATAACTATGAAGTTGGAGTTTTGTTCAATTGAAAAAAATATATATAAGCGCAGATAAACACAATCCTCTCTTTTCCTCGTTACCTAGCGAGAGTGACACTCCAACAGCTTGCCACAATATAAAATTACTAATGATTGCAGTGAAAATACAGTGCAAGTCCAAAATAAAGTTTAAGTATTATTACTATTAGTATTATTAACCGTATCTGTTTCTGATAGGTTAACCTTTATTTAAATATGTAATAGAGATTTTTTCAGTACTTTGATTGCTGCAACTACGTTGAAAACATGCATAGAACCCTTTAAACATTTAAATAACAGCTGCAGCAATCTCAACCCTTTGTCCTTACCACCCAAAAAGTTTCGCTTTTGTTAGTCCGACTAGATTTAAATACTGTATCCGCGTTTGTGATTAATAAGAGCTCTCCACTAAATATTTAATCGATAGTAATGTTATTCAATTCCAATTAAATATTGCTTTCCGTTTAATAAATCACCCCTAGTACTAAATCGTGTGTCCGCGCCTATGGTTAAGAACTTAGAAAGTTAGAAAGTTGGAAGACTATTTTCTCCCCTACATTGCCAAAAGTTAACGCCAAAAGTTTTATTTTATTCTTTCTCGTCTTCTGCCTTTCCTCCACTTTCTTCATCTTCTTCTACTCTAAACTGAGCAACATAAAATCTTAACACACCAGTAACCAACATTTTAGGGACAGAGTGCTCGGCATTTGAGCCGCCTGATATTTCAGACCTTTTTAAGGGACAAATAAACAGCAACTGAAACTTCAACTTCAGTTCAGTAACATTTGATCAGTTTTTCAGTTTTTCAAATACTGATCTTAAAATATATAAGTATTCCAGTTACACCTTTATTTTATTGAAAATGTGGTTATTCGGTCTGAATAACTGAATATTTGATATCAATTCTTAACTATTTCTGAAACTTTTCGCACTCAAGATTACGCAAGATTACGCACTCTTTCTGAAGTTACAGTAGGAAACTTCAGCCTAGTATGACTAGGCTATTGCTATGGTGACAAATTCAATGTTATTTTATATCGCTTTGCAATTAAAAACAAGGCGAGACAGAAGCAAAGCTCACGAGGAAAAAAGCAAGATTAAGCTAAACTAAATTCCAATGACAAAAACTCTCTCATAATATTTGCTATTTAGACGTCACCGTAACACCACAGAAACAGGATAATTACCAAACCCTCACTGAATAATCTAAAAAGGGGGTGTAAAATTGATCAGTGTGAGTGAAAAGAAAATGTAATAAAATAATAAAGCATTTAGCGTAAACGATAGTTTTATTTATTTTTTATTTATTTTACAATACAAAAACAACTTAATTGTTGGATACAAATGTGCAGGATAAAAGTTTAGTGCATTACGATTTGTTTTCCTCATCCAAACGTTTGTCATAAAAGAGATCAATGAGAAAAATAAAATATTGTACAAAGCCACAATTCAAAACATCCATGCCATTGCATAACGTATACGTGCCAAATAGTTCCTTTTAAATTAAGGCAAGGGAATATTACCGTATTAAATTATAAGTCACTTAGTACAGTCTTGAGTCCCATCGACGAAATTCTACAGGTTTCATTTTCTAAGATTTACACATAGGTTTGGATTTTTTTTTTTTAAACAGACTACAAACAAGACCCCAACGTAAGAATACATTTACGGTACAATATGGTAAGGACCAAAATAAAAGAATAACGGATAATAAACACATTAATATTGCATATCGAAATTGCTACGAAGCTTTACATTGTAAACGAATTGTATTATTTACATGTAAACTATAACCTTCAGTAGCTGAAATGCTTCACATCTAAAATCGTGTCAAGATACCGATGAAACTTCACGTAGATGTCCATCATTTCAAAGTAATGACGTCACTGCATGTGCGAACGTTTACCCTTTAAGAAAACATACATGTACAGTTCTATACAGTAACAATCCTATTTTTATCTTACAAATATTATCCTTTTTCCTGAAGACTTGCAGCTTTTTATAGCACCGTCAGATACAGTATATTAGCTGGAACATATCGTTTATTTTTCCTTCAGCATCATATAACCTGTAATAAAATATTTGATCAAAAAACATCTCATTTCAGCTGCGCTACAAACTGCATTTATGTACCACGAAACATTTATTTTTAATACCACTAAGATTTTAAAGAACGTCTTGCCGCCTTGCCTTTATGAACTTCTTTCATAAACCCTTAAAACGCATGGCTGTTTTCACTCGATATACAATGTCTTGTTATGATACACTAAAAAATGTACACATGTAAAATTACGATGACCTTTCATATCCAGTTTTCAGGAAAATTATATATATATAGCTTACAGTATATGCATGTTTTAAAATGCCCCCAGTACCATCTGCTTCGTTGGGTTTAATGATATATACCCTAGACTCCTCATCATAAAATTAATATTTGTTTCAAAAGAGAAAAAGCAACTGCTTAAGATTCCGAGCTATAAAATACTGGTAACGGAATGAGGTTGTGTTTCTGGTACGACCGTCAAACAAGAACAGGATCGTGTATTTAATGGATTTTAGACTGTATTAATATTCAGTTTTAATAGAATCAGCTCCGAAAGGGGTGTTCTTTGTTGCATAGTTCAGATTTCCTTTTATTGCTTGGTAATCAACCGTTCTTCATACAACATTTTGATAAAAAGATGAGAAGCGAAGAATGACACTTGTTTCTAAAATGCTTGTAACACTACGTTGGATGTTTCCGAATTACAAGGTACTGTAAATCATATTCACTTAACTTGAAAGAATGTGTCTTACAATCTTAACAACTGCACTGAGTCGAAACAGACGCTTTAAAGTTAATGACGCATTAACAATTTCTCAAAGTCTTGATTTCGAACAAATTCAAATATATAAACGAATTTTCTGGTGAGGATATTACATTGAAAAAGTAGGATCCATGTGCATACAGTACATCATGTAGTTCAGCGAAAGCTACACATACAATATATTTCCCCACAGAACAAAGATGTTCATAATGGTAAAACAATACTATACAGTACTTCCACAACGGTTTGGGAACAGTTTTGAATAAACTGCGTCGTGGACTGTTTGCAGGTGTGGATAAATGCTCTATCGGTAGACAAACTGACTCCCTGACATTAAAAAAAATAACATTCAAAGCAGAAACAATCATTATCTGGAATTCACCCCATACCCAAATACTGAAGAAGAACAGAATGCCGTGTACATTTTAAATAATAGATGTGTCGAGCAGTAAAATCTGTTTTCCCGTTAATTAGCTGGCAATGGGGATGACCACCACTTAGTTTACCTCATTAATTATGGAAAGCCGCATTTAATTCGTCCTGCATTGCATAGGACTGGCTGCGCAGATGTAAATCGTAAGGGAAATTTCTGTCGGAGGACACCCTAAACATCGAATTCTGCCCAAGAGAACTTCTCGCTGGCACCGCGCAGTAATGCATCCCATAGTGGCAATTCTTACCATACTCAGCTGTGTCTTCGTGCTTAAGGGAAAATATCCCATTAAAGTTAATTGGAGGGCTTAGGGGACCTTCAAATTGTGGGCTTATACACTCGGGGGAAGTGCTTTCATAAAAGGACTCGTAGGTATTGCAGTAGCCGTACGGTCTAAAGGGCTTGGCGCTGTCCACTGTACCGCTACCATGCCCCGTGGGCGTGCCAAGCTCGGGGCTCTGATAAGGTGGGAACACGCTGTCATATGGAGACCTGCCAGAGTGAGATGCCTCCCCGTTGTGATCTGTGAGGAAATTTCTGGCATTGAGCTGCAGACACCCTGCCACTAAATTAGTGGTTGGCTGCGACAGTCCTTTGCACAGGGTTTGCACGAAGGCGAGCAGGTCGGGTCTTTTCCCAGCGCTGAGGATTTCCGACAGAGCCCAGATGTAGTTCTTCGCCAGGCGCAGAGTCTCTATTTTGGACAGCTTCTGGGTTTTGGAGTAACAGGGAACTACCTTCCGCAGGCTGTCCAGGGCGTCGTTCAGACCGTGCATTCGGCTCCGCTCCCTCGCGTTCGCCTCCTGCCGCCGCATTTTCACCCTCTCGACCCTCTGCTGGGTCATCTTCTTTTTCCGCGGACCTCTCCTCCGTGGCAGCCCGTTCTCGTCACGGTCCTCCTCCCTCTCGTCTTCGTCCTTCTCCGACTCTTCCTCGTCGGTCTTCTTGAGCTCCGGGGTTGAAGGTCTCTCGTCCCGGAGGCAGGTGTCGTTCTTCCGGCTCTTGGCCTCCGACACGCATTCTCGGGGAAAGTTGGAGCCAAACTGGGGATCGGCCATCAGGGCAGGTTCTTCAAAAGGTAAGGTCAGCATTGTCCTCGAATAAAAAATACAATAAAAACATAGAGTCAACACTGCTGTTTTCTGTCTCTTTACAGTTCGGACAGATGTAGCTGTGTAGCTGTTAAGGTGTTTTCTGAGGTTTTAACACACTGATCAGCTGACAGCTCTCTGTTTCCCGAAGACTCTGTCACGCATTGCTTGAAAATCAATCAAATGAAAATTAGAGTTCTCGAAGAAGGATGCATGCAGATAATTTTCTGAGCGCCTTTAGACTCGATTTAAAAGAATGTCAGACTTTTCTTTGCGCATTTAAACTAAGTACTGTGCGTTCACAGTGTACGGATACATGGAACGATAAAGCAATTATTATTATTAGTTGACAACTAACTGACAAGGACACAGCTACGACGCGAACGTGTCGCATTGTTAAATACCAATATTTATCAAGCATGACAATACTTGCGTTAATAATCCTCACAACCACAGGACTTTTTTCTTACCTTGATTTTGGTTCAGCATTCAGTTTTCATTTTTTTTTCCAGCTCCCTTTGAATTATAGCACCATCACACACCACCCCCCTCCAATTTTTTTTTTTGTGCAACAGAAATCTCAGTCGGCTTTTTCTTGATCTCTGCCTCTTTCTCTCTTCCTCTTTCTCTCTTTGAGAAATGACAGCGATGCCAACCTCCAGAGCTGGTACCCATGCCATCTGCCGCTGACGTCACGTGGCGGCGGCCGTCACGTGGCCGTGTCTCAGGGGACATCCATTCCACAGTGATCATCTGGCATCCCCATAACTGGGCACCAGGCAGCTTTAATTTACCGTCAAAAAATCAGACTAAAGAAAGATTAATACTAACATCACCAGGCGAATCTCCTGAGATCGCTAATAGGAGACAAGGTTTTCGTTTTATAAAGAGAGCCATATGAGCTTTTCCAACATTTAAGCCCCAGATCAAACTTAATAATTGTCTCGGTTGGGCCACGGCAGGAGTGACGACGACCCTTTATTGATTTATTTTTTTTTTCGTCGGGAAAATAAACCTCGTTTTCAGATTTTCACAGGCCACAGTCTCTATGCCAAGCAATTAGCCAATTTAGCAGAACAGTCTCCCTGAACAGGGCACTTTGGACAAGGGCTTGGGTGGAGTAGGAGAATATAACTTTTAACGAATTAAAACAGTTTATATGAATTAATTAACAGAGAACTGACTGCTGTTTCTCACAGAAGTAGTAAGTGGCTTAGATTTTTGCTTTGTGTAATTAATATCAAGGAGGTAGCTATATTCATGATTAGCATTTATGAGTGATATACAGTAAATATACTGGCAAAGTCTCTTTGGAAATCTACTTGAGAGATCTATTTTTCTGTGTTGTATATGGCTTTAGATTTTCAGCTTTTTTTAATTTAAGAGTGTTTTCTACGTGTGAGCTTTGAAAATGTCTTCCAATGAGGTCTTAGTTCATTAGCTGTTTCATTTTCTGTATTTAAGATGTATTTCCTTTATTTGATTGTACAGAACATGCAACATTACTTAACATCCATTCTGTTGGACCTTTAATTTTCACTCTGCTTATAGCACTTGCAATTACAAAATGAACACAACAAACATCACAACACATATTGATGAGCAATAGCCCATGGTGTTTCTTTTGCAATGTATTTTGTGAACCTCTTATTTCTCCTCAGGAATTTTACGTCACTTCTTTCTTTTTCTTTGTCAGCCTTGAGAGTAGTAGGTGGTGCAGAGCCGTTTCATACTGTGTGATGAGGCTGTGTCATTTCACAGCCAGTTGTACTTAATGAAGGGTTTGTAATTGAGGCAAGGTGAACCTGCCTTATAAATACCTCGGTTAAGCTGAGGTGTAACCGTTGACTGATTTTATGTTCACCGAAAATCAGCTTAACACATTATGTGTAAACCTCATACACATGTACACTTACTTGCACACTGTGCATTATTATTTACTTTGCTGAAAATTTATGATTCATGAGATCGTTGCAGAGTAAGAAGGCTCTACAGCAGAGAGTTAAAGAAACAATGTCTTTCTAAGGATCACTGTAATTAAACCAATAACAGAGCATATGAGCAGTTAGAAACCAGGGGAAGCCATTCCTCCCATTTGGCCTGTTTGGTATTTAGGAGCTAATTGATCCAAAGATCTCATCCAGCCATTTCTTGAAGGAAGTCAGCCAACAACATGGTGGGACTGCTTGTTCCACAGTCCCACGGCCCTCTGGGTGAAAATGTGCTTGCTGTTCTCGGTTGTAAACGCACTTTCATGTAGTTCCCACTTGCATCCTCTGGTTTGTGTTTTACTGCTCGTTCTTAAGAGGTGTGCTGAGCTGAGTTTGTCAGTGCCCTTGAAGAGTGCTGGATTTCCCAACAGGCACTGCAGGCACAGTGCCTTGGGCCTATGAACTTTTTAGGGCCTACGAAGGAGGGAAACACTAGTGACTGACGAAAAACGAATTGAAACATGCTTGTGATCAACTCTAGGTGCTCCAAATCAATAATCATACACTATCTAGCGGCTGTTCTAGAAACTAAAGGTATTGAAGCGATGGTCGCTTGACTCACTCCATTAATCACGTGGTTTAGCATTAGAATAGTTTAAAGTACATTTACCTGTCTTTTTGCGCATTTCGGAGTGAAAGTGCCTAGGGCCTATGAACACCAAAATCCGTCCCTGCCCTTGGAGATTTTGAATATTGTACTTGTGTCAGGTGCTCTCATCACCTTTTCTGGTCAAGACTAAAAAGGTTCAGTTCCTTCAGCCTGTCACTGTAGGGTATTCCCTCAAGTCTGTTTTTTATTCACTGGACTCATTTCAGCACGATCTTTTCATGGTGTGCACAATTGTTCTCAACATTCTAAATGATGCCTTATTAGCGTTATACAATTTTAACATGACGTCACCCGATTTAAATTCTACATTTTTATCTATGAATGGTAACATTTTGTTTACCTTTTTAATTGTTTCTCCAGATTATCTAGAAGATGTAAAATGATTATAAATTCTTTGAACAGTGGTGTTGGGTTATATGAAAATAAAAATGTTTAAATGTTTAAAATTAAATTATTTAAGCAGATAAATCCCACTCGAATAAGGATACTGTGTAAAAAATGTTATATGCTTTACCTTTATGGTACGCCAGTTCAAACAACCTACTATGTGTCAAGGTTATGAAAATATCTTACCATTATACTTAAGGGTGCCAGGCTGCTCTATAAACATTTTTTTTATTTTTCTTGTGAGGCAATATTTGGTACAAACACTGACAGAAAATTTTAATTTAAAGTCATCTGAGGATTTTATTGATACTCTGCAGTAATAAAAGAAACTATAGATGTACACATGCCCTTCATAATGAGTTTCCTTTCGTTTCAAAGATAAGCCACAAACCTGTGAGGTATCACATCCTGCAGAGCAAGGGACAAGGTACGCCTATGCCTCTAACAGGCCCATCGAGGAAGATAGCCCCTTTCTCTTCCTCTTTTGTTCCTTAACAAAGATGGGTAAGACAGGTAAGACAACACTCACCCCTTCAAAGGGTTCATCCACGCTCTGCGCCTCTCTACTGACAGTCGAATGTACCTGTACCAGGGGTTCTTACTGAAACTATGTACTTTTACATTTTGACAGCTTATAGCTGCAATGTTCTTGGGAACGGATCAGTTTCAACATCTGCTCCCACCCGGTACTTATTTTTGTTTGTACTACAGTTTGAAACATCACTTTCTGCTTTGCATGGTTCAGAGTTTCTAAAAAAAGCAAATCAACACAGAACTGCATATAAATATCTGGCGATACAACCCTGCACCTCACACTCCAAAGCATTTCAGATGGGTTTTTCCTTATGGCATGAGAACTTTGCTAAAACGTTGGAATTAGCTTTGCCATGGGACCTTTAATGAAGTCAAGTCTTTAGTTTCATGTCTCATCTGAAGGATGGCCTCTCCTAAACATAGGCTTCTGCACTGGCGAAATGGTTTGGAAATCGTACAACAGAGGTAAGAGTGTCACCTAGACATCCTTTAACAGAAATTGCAGCAGTAACCTTCGTTGGACTGGCTAGGCCCAGATTCTGAGATCTGATCAGGTTACTTAGAGCTAATGCTACTTGAAATAAGAGAAGACCTTCTGCTTTCTGGAACTGTCAGTGAGGACAAGGGCATTTTTCGTTTATTTAATCTGTGTTTTGCCTTCTTTATCCACTCTTGCCTGTGTAGTCTTGTAATTTGCACTGCCCTCTTTTATTCCTTCCTCTCTTTTTCCTTTATTCCTATTTTTTTAAATCAGGTTTAAAGAAGAAACATCAAAAAGAACCAAGAGAGGGGAGATGTCATACAGCTGAGCGCTAAGCTGCAAAATTGGCGCTTACTTGCTTTTACTAGCAGCGTCTGTATCAGCTGCTGCTCTGCACCTGTAGAGCCATATGACCCCTCTCCATACCTCTGCACCCCTCAAAATCTTCTGTGCACAGCAGTGCCCCCAAGTGCCCGTCTTTAAGAGTCCCGTGCCTGCGTGAATAGCGCTGTCTCCACACTCCCCTGCGTGGACCAGTCTCCATGCACTGCCCACTTCCTTTCCCTTCCTTCAGCTTCCTAGTGCTCTGTGTATTCTCATTCACTGGTTCCTGTGAAACAAGGTAGGCTGTCCGGTGTTCTCTTTCTTTGACTCAAGATCTACAGTATCTGGCGATCTACACTGACACATTCCAGACTCCTTGTTTAGTATCTGGTTTACTCCTCTCCAAAACAGACGGTCTTGGGTAGCAAGGCATTATCCCAGTTCCCTGACCAGGACAGCACTAGCCCAGGTACAGCAAAGTCCAAATCCAGTAGGTTTTTTAGGTAACCATGAAAGCATTTATTTCTTAAGATCTGGAGCAGCAGAGCTGTGATTATTTAAGCTGGCAATTTGTCAAACACCATTAATAAATTACACCTGCCCTGAAGGACCAGTATTCACTTAATTGAATAAATGAATTGCTTTATTGATGAATATATATATTTTTATTTTTAAAGGAACAAGTAATAGGTTTATTCCATGCTGAAAAAAAGAAGAAAGAGAACACAACGTTTCGGCCGTGGAGCCTTCTTCAGGTGTGAATTTTTTTTTCAGCATGGAATAAACCTATTAATTGTTCCTTTGCAGCCTACGCATGCTGACGCAGCTACCCACCTGAACTACAACAGCCTTTTTATTTTTAATATTGTATTTGATATTATATACACATCCAACTGTTTAAGACATCATGGCAGTAACTCCTGTACTGCAGTGGGTGAATGAAGCCCTGCAGACATGCTGCTCTGACCCCCTGCTGTCAGAGCCATTCATCTCCCTGACAAACCACGGGACCCACGGGTGCCTTCCTTCCAGGAGACCTGGCAACAGCCCGTAAGGTTTACTGGTCTGGGGATCTCAGAAAAAAAAAGTCCAGGTTGGGGACAACACATTCTCTAGCAGCTCAGCAGTTTCTCACTTCCAGAGGCTTGCAGAGTGTCATCAGATTGCGGAGTGGTCCACTGATGCTGCAGTGGAGCAATGCCGACTGTCTCTCGTGTTAATGAAAATTTGCATGATCTGAAAAACTGTGACTAATTCATGTCAACCCCTGTAAGAGTTATGGAAATGTCTGAAC